ATGCTCATAAATAATTCCAGAAAATTTGTATGACAAATGAAATACAACTCTATGTCAACAATATACTCTAATCAGTCTATTTTAGAATTCAACAGAAAAAAAAAACTAATAGTCTAACCAATAGTTTGACAAACCAGGTCTAAACCTATAAACTGAAATTGTCAGTCTACTGCTGTTTAAAGGAGCCAATGAGCTTTAAAGATTTAAAGAAATCCCAAGATGATTTCTTCAGTGGTCTATTTTATTTACAAAGTATAATTCTTGAACAGTTATTTCATCATGACCTTAACTCTTCTACTTTTGTTTCTGAAATCCAATCAAATTTTGATAGCACCTAACGTGGTCAACACCTGTGTATGTTGCTCCACTTCTTGGCCTGTAGGGAGTGGTCTTATGGAATGTAGGAGATGATCTCATGAACTATTGGGGGTGGTCTCATGGACTATAATGAGTGGTCTCATGGACTGTAGTAAAAGGTCTCATGAACTATAATGGGTAGTCTAATGGGCTATAGGAGGTGATGTCATGGACTGTCGGAGATGGTCTCATGGACTGTCACGGGGACTGTACAAGATGATCTCATGAAATCAATTTGATGGTGTGGCTTTAAGTTTCAATATTAATATGAATACTAACATGAAAATTGTCCTGTGTGTGTTTGGAAAATATCTTCTAGCAAGGATACAGGTGGAAAAAAAAAAGAATGACAGAGAGAAATTTAAATTTTAATGAATTTAGCTCTCTTCCTTTACTTCTAATATATATATAGATAATATTATATTAATCATTGAAACATGATTTTCCTGACTTTCATTGATATTCTATTGAATCTAGCCTTCAAAAATATACCAGATTACAATTTGAAAGAAAAAAGCAAAATAAAGATGAAGAAGTCTCAATACTGAAATTAAATTGTTAGCATAATTTATATTACCATTTTATTCAAGAAAGCACCTCAAATAAAAAATATGTATAAACAAGCCAGCAGAAGTGCTGGAAAAAAAGCTACTATTATTTAACATTCTACAATCCTATTATCAATACACACTTCACCTTCACACTTGAAAAATCATGTATTTCTTTCTCTATGCTAACTACACTTTTTAAAAAATCTTAGAGCCAAATAATATATTGTCTTTGAATTGACCAATATAATTTTAGCTGTTACTGAAATTTCTGACAATTCTAATTACACATAGTATAAATATTGTTAGGAAAAGCAACTGCATTGTCTTAATGTTAAAACAGTTATCCCAGCTTCCTCCTGTATAAACAAGAAAAAAAGTATTAGACAAATTTCTATGGCAACAACTTAAATTCTATCAAGACCTTAATTACAGCAGTAACCACAGCAGCTTAGAGTTTCTTCAAAGCCATTTATAGGATACTCTGGCTGCTTTTCTTCTCCTTCCCATTGGTCACCACAAGACACTTTTCAGCTCATTGTGATACATTAAAAGATGATTTAACTAGAAACAGGATACATTATCTATGAACATCAAAACACAGTTATATTAGCATTTTGTGTAAATAGAAAATAAAAAAACACTCAGCACTTCCACATAAAACACATGTGAAAAACCACAACATTACTGACTTGTATGTGGCCCTACTGACTTGTATGTGGCCCTACTGACTTGTATGTGGCTCTGTGAAGTGTTTAAAAGAACTTTGCTAGGTAAATTAAATTGTGCCAGAGATGCTCTACTAAAGTCATTAAAGAACAGTCAGTCTTAATAATCATTTATTATAATCATGAAGTCATAGGACATGCTTTCTCTATAGGCTTTCATGTATATCATTATTTATTAAGATTCTAGCAGCATTCTTGAGATTGGAATCAATGCAAACTTAATATAGATTCAGTGGTATGGGTATTTATCCTAGGGAACACTCATCTTTTTCCTTAACTATTTTCTTTTATTCTAAGGGAGAGCAGTGCCAATTTAGCTCACTCACTGAATCTGACGTGAGATTGTTTTGTCATAGACAAACTAATGGTGCACAAGGCCAATACTATTATAAGTGGGAAGCTGGAAACTCATTCCCAATCTGTTTTATGGTGATAGTATTTATGACTTTGTGTTTTAATAATCTTTAAAAGCTTGGTATGATGATTGCTCTATATAAAAATGAGGTTTTGAAGTATGAAGGAAATTGAATTAGATGTCTTTCTATTTTTAGTATATATGATTTAAATTATCATGTACTGTCCTTGAGCCTCACTCATTTCATCTATATAATGGAAATAACAATATTTGGAAAATTGCCCTGTGACCTTGAAACTTAAATGAGAGTGTAAAGTAGCATGTCTGTCATACAAATACTAAGAAAGGTCATTAAAATATTATTTGGACAATTTGATTGCTTTGACAAGGCTATTACACTGTAATTTTTGTTTACTTAAGGAAAATTTCTCTGTTCACACCTTCTATGACAGATTCTGTTCCCTAATCTTTCCTAATCATGTATCAATTGTAAAATTCCTACTATGCCCCCGTCGATATTTTTCAATGAATGCATAAATGCTGCCTTTCATGAGAGACATTTGTAAGGCTTCCCTTTTTCCTCTTTTCTCTCTTAAGGTTATAGGAAACATTACTCACCTCCTTTACCCTCTTTTTCACAATGAACAATTCTGTTGATTGCTTTCTAAAACTGCAGCATTTTCCCCATAAAAGTTTTAAAGCTTTCTTATGAGAAACAAATAATAAGTAAATAACCAAGAGCAACTGCCAGAGAACATTTTTTTCCTATTTTATCATTATGAAATGCAGATCACAAACAAAAGAATCGAGAAAAATAAATAATGGGTGCCCTTAGGAAGAGTCATAATTTACAATAAAGATTTTGTTTTAAAAGTGTTAAAATCAAAAATACATACTCCAGAACATCACTGTTCTAGGAAATTATTTCCCTTTAGAATGTGAATTCTAACTGGCAAATCTAGTTACAACAGCTTCTGGGGGGCTTTCACGCAGCTAACTTTGAATCCTGTGATTTCAGTGTGTGCTCTGCTGTCTTTGCCATACTTCTCAAGAACGGGTCTGTGGTGGAATGCAGATCCCATCAATATGTGTGGTTTGTACCCTAACTGCTGATAAAATGGACTTGCTTAGAATTCCCTCTGGCATCTGCCTCCGACCAGTAATACATTGGTCAGTAAAATTCCAATAGTTTGCTGCTTTCCCTTGAAAATTACTGGGCCATAGCCAAAACTGGAATGATAAGAGTGAAACACTTCTTTAGGATAATGATTGATTTCCATAAAGATGAGTACTTCAACAATTTTCAATATGTAGTTGCTGGGGCGGGTAGGGTGGGTGGCCACTAATTAGTTTTACCGTTTTCAGCAGATGTTGAATTCAAAATGCCAGCAGCATTTCAACCAGCAGTCATTAGGGCTGTCTTTCATGGCGGAGTGCTGACCAATGAAATCCCTCTCTGTTTAATGAGACCTATCTAGACAGAGTCAATTAAATCAAATCTATACTAACATCTCCAATATATCTGCAGTGTGGGCAGCGCCAACAAAATCAACAGTGAGGGATTTCCAGTATTAATAAAGGGATTCACTGACGCATTAGGAGAGGGGGAAGGGAGGGAGGTTGTTAGGGTAAAACCATACTTTATGGACAGTGTAAAAGCAGTAAAGTAGAAGAGGATGTGAGGGACTGTGAGGAGAACTAGTGAATATTTAAACATTAAGGTGATTATAGCGAGACCCTTTCTGGTACCCAGGAAAGGAGCCACCCCAAACGTCCCCCTCCCCCACCCCTTCAACCATAAATCCAAATAGAAAACTGGAAAAATGTAAGGACCCAGATTTGAAAACATTTTCACTTTAATACTGAAAAAATATGCCATTATAAAATCCTCGAATAGAATTAGTAAGTTTCACGTGCTTCCTCGGTTCTTTGTTCCTACTTTATAAGTAAGATTTATACCAGCACACAATTGCTACCATAGGATCGCAGCCTAAGCACTAGAATGACATTAATTGGTCATGCTTAACTGCCCCAGAATCTTTTTTCTTAAATAATTACACTGTTACTATAATAGAAATCATGGGTACTTATTTTACATTCAGATGGAAGGCATTATTGGATATGTATAGAAAAATATTCCCCCTCAGAAACTAAAATAAAAACAAACATCACCGTCAAAATAAGATAATCCAAAACAACCCTTAAAAACTTTGCTCAACAAAATACATTGTTAACTCATAAAATGGACTGATGACTAGCCATGCAAATGTCTTAAATAAAACCTTTACATTTTTTTTCCACAGTAAACATACTCTCTGAACTGCCTACCAATCACAAATAATGGCGAAATGGCACTTTCTGATTATACTGTAATTTGTTTATAGAAAGTTTGATACGATGGGACTTATCAGGTAAGAGGATGGGTGCTGTGACGCCGTCTCCAGTCTCAGTGGGGAGTTGGGATTGGGGGTCAGAGTTTCTGGAGCATCGGGATTCCATGCGAGCCATGCAGCACTTCTTTTGTTTTTTTTTGTTCTTGTCAGGAGTCAAAGTTATTTATTTACAATACATTCATGCCTTCGTGCAACTGCCCATCCCTGCATAACCAACAGGGAGCCATCTTCGGGCTATCCACAGGGGAAAAAATAGATATCTATCTCTCTATATAGATGTGATATATGTATATATGTATAGAGCCACTGCAGCCAGCCCCACGGGACCTTTGGCCCAGAGCGAGGGTGCTCGATTCTTCTGGCAGGCCCCATGCTTTTAGTCAAAAGGCGCAAAGAGCGAGTTAGCTGCACTCCCAGCTCCACAGCCTGCTCTTTGTTTTCAGAGGGAAGCTTAGGGGCTAGAGCCTCTTAGTCGAGTGAGTTCATAGTTATTTATTTACTTATGTCCGTCGAGGCTTGTGACACGCCAGATCTGGGTCAATGTTCTCCTGCTCCCACGAGATGCTGGCGGCAGAGTGTATATTGCCTCCTGCACTTCTCCCCCTTTAGGGTGTAGAGCTTAGTCAGAGAGTGAGTGAGAGCCGCAATCATACACCCTATGGGACCCGTCTGCATTGTAAGGGCCATTGTGCCAGTAGGAAGAGTCACAGACTGTCTGTAGGGAATTAATTTCGGACGCTGAGGAATTGGCATCCCTTCTCTTGGACCGCTTTCGGTTCCTCAGGATAAACACGAGCATGCCCACCACGGTGAAGGCGGAGGTGACGAACACCAGGAGCAGTCCCGGGACCAACACGGAGATGGATACCCTGCTGGTGTCTAGGTAGGAGTTGGAGTGCGTCCCGGTCTCCGCCAACCCAGTGCTGTTTTTACTGTGCGAAGTCAACGTGGGCGAGATCCTCGCGTACAGCTGGGGGCAGATCTCGTCATTGGAGAGCAGCATGACATCCTTCCTAAAGAAGTTCACCGGCGTCTCACACTTGAGGTCGCTCATCAGCACCTCGGAGCCCAGACGTTCTGCCCATTGCTTGAAAGGCACAATGGTGCAGGAGCACTCCCAGGGGTTGCCATGCAGATCTATCTGGATGATAGAGGTTAACTGGTCAAGCACCCCTGCCACTGGGAGGTACATGAAGTAATTGTTGTGCAGGCTGAGCTTAGACAGGGAAACCCCAGCAAAAACGTCCACGGGTAGGGACCTCAGCAAGTTGTTGTTAAGAATAAGAATCCTCAGCTTGGGCATGGCATTAAAAGTACCAGGGAGAATGAGCTGAATCGCGTTGTACTCCACGTTCAGATACTCCAGGTTCTGCAGCCCAGCAAATTTCTCCCGGGACAGCGTGTCCAGGTAGTTACTATCCATGTACAGCCACCTGAGGTCCACAAGGTTCTTGAAAGTGTTGTTCTCTATGTTCGCGATGTTGTTGTTGCCCAGATCCAACAAAATGAGGTTCTTGTAATCCACAAAGTGAGATTTTCGGATGCTGTGGATCTTGTTATCTCGGAGGAAAAGCTCTTGAACATTGGAGAGCTTGGGCTTCAAATCAGCCAAGCTGCTCACGTTCCGGTTGTTACAGTTCATCTTTAAGCCTGAACCTGGGATGTGGTCACAGCTGCAGCCCCCGGGGCAGGGCAAGCCTTGGCCTGGGGGTTTGTTTCTGGCGCCCCCAGTTGCTATCGGTGGTGTGGGTTTGATTTTGAGCTGCCAGTTGCCCGGGATCTTTGTACCTCCATTTGGAACAGACCCTGGGGTGGCATGCTCGTCTTGCCCATTTGTCTTGAAAGGAGTTGGCAGGGGGCCAGGAGCGAAGGTCTCTTCCTGGGCAGGGGGAGCAGGGAGACTAGAATCCACTCGATTTTTCAAAGGACACAAGTCCTGTTCAGTGGTTTCATTGAGGTCTTTACCCTGAAGCCTAGTGGGGGCTTCGCAGACCACTCGGCCGATCAGGGCATTTTTGGGAATGTTTTCTAGCCATTCTTTCAGGGAGAGCAGATCACAGGTGCAGTCCCAAGGGTTATCCTCGAGCAAGATCTCAGCAATGCCAGGGATCTGCTCCAAAACCTCCTCATAGGGCAATGTTTTCAGCCTGTTTCCGCGGAGGTCGAGGTGGGTGATGGGCACATACTGGAATACATTGGCAGGTAGAGTGCTGATGAGATTGTCGTTTAAAATGAGGACTTCCAACTTGTTCAAGTCCTGGAAGGCCCCCGGGTCTATATCCCGTAATAAATTAAAATCAGCCTGGAGGTATTCCAGATCGTCCAGCCCCAAAAAAGTCTGCTTTCGAAAAGACTTGATCTTGTTGTTGTTGATATGCAGCCGTTTCACCAGCTGCAGCCCCAGAAAAGCCCCCGGAACGATTTCATGCAAGCCATTGTTTTCCATATGCAAACTAACCGCATTATAAAAGTTAGCGAACTCATTAGGGAAAAGTCGAGTGAGGGAATTGCCATGCAGAAATAAATGGTAAAACTGGGAAGTCGGGGCGGTGAAGCGCTGCAGACTTGTAAAGCCCTTTTTTTCACAGTCTACGTGTAAGTCCCCTTCTATCTCATTGCAAGAACAGATCTTCTCTTTACAAACGTCCCCTGTAACGTTTCCAGCGGCAAAACAAAGAGACGTCTCCAGCAACAGAATCCAAAGCAGCATTTTTAAAGCGAGCAATTCATCCCAGATCTCATCACAAAGTAACAGCAACCATCCTGCTCGCCACAGACACGATTCAAGTTCATTTAGTGCTCCAATGTCCGATCCCAGAGAAAGAGAAAAAAGGGTTTGGGGGGGTGGGGGTGGATTCCTTCCTCCCTAACCCCCCCGTACTGCAATAGCCCAGACGCCAGTCAATAATTATATCCACAAACTATCCAAGCACATAGTGCAAAGCAAGCAGAAAAGGGCGGGGGGTGGAAAGTAGGGGAAGAGAGAGAAAGAGAGAAAGCAAACTACTCCCCCCTCAACCCTTTAAAAATAAGTAAAATATATATCTGTAAAATTAAAAGGAAACGCACCCTTACAGAATCATGTTTAGACGTCCTCGCTAACCAGGAATGGAACAATGCTAGCAATTAGAAGCAAGTGCATGTTAGAAACAAGCAGGTTTGCAGCGTAGTACAGGCGCACTGCCTGTGATGGCTGTGCGTCGGACTGACCTTGCCTTTCTGATACAAAGCAGAGCTTTCGGCAGCTTCAGAGGTCCAGGCAGCTGGAGGAGTTCCTGTCTTGATCGTGGGTTGCTCAGAAGTGCCCCCGAGGTGCTGTCCAGAGCCCCCGGTGCTGAAATCACGCCCGACCGAAAGACTCACACTGCCCAGCCAATGGCGCTGGAAAATTTCCGCAATCGCTGCGTTTTGTGGATGTCCATCCTGATCCTTTTTATCCCCTTTGGCCGTCTTCAGTCCTCCTTTTTTTTTTTTTTTCTTCTGTGCTCCGACCGGTGCTTACTCGCTCTTCTTTGCTTGTTCTCCTTCTCTTTCTTCTGCTCTTTCGGAATTACGTGGAGGGGGGAGGACAGAGGGGGAGCGAGTTGTCTGAGGGAGGAAGAGAGCGCGAGAAAGGGGAGGAGGGGGGGAGTTGCTAAGAAGCTCTGCTGGTTCCAGCCTGGTGCACTCTGAAAGATCTGACACCCTCTGCTGATCTGCAGTAGCAAAAATCCATCTGGTGAGGGAATGCTGAAAGAAAAAAAAATCCACGTATAGGGCAAGCGTTAAAAACGTGGGTATTAAAGGCTGTAGATCTACATAGAAGCTTATTTTAAATTGATTATTTAATTCTTTTTTGCTTGCTAGAAACTTTACCCTTTCCTTTCCTTAAAGACCTCACAACCCCCGCAAGTTCCAGCGTTCCGAAAGCACGGCTTTTAAAACATTTATTTCCCAATGGCTTGAATAAAATTAGTGTCAGGGTGTCAAGCGAACAGCAATTTGAGGTAATTATATTGCACGCCATTTTCATCGGTGCTTTAAATGCGTTTCTGCCTTCTCTGCGGTACAGCGTTTTATACTGTTTGATGCCTTTGGAACCTCTTATTTTATTTTTGTACATAGAAAGTGGCTATTCGGAATGTATGTGCATATATATATATATATATATATATATATATTACATAATATCACAATTTGGTAGAGAATATTTGTTTCCAGGTATATAATTGAGGCATATACTTTTCCATTTTAAAGTTGTTGCAGAATTCAGTCAATTTGGTCCTAGAGAGTTAGGTTTTTCTGGTGGTATTGCTAGAGCGTTATTTAAATCTGCAGAATGAAAGCACAATGCCTGCTTGCGGTCTTTGATTTCAGACCACAAAGCTTTCAGTGACATTCAGAAAATGAGGGAAGGGGATGAGGAAAATTCCCAGATTACGAAGGCTCTTATAAACCCTTTGGTATGCGGGCACTCAGCCACCACACATGCATGCTGTCACACATGTACACACACACACACACACACACACACACACACACACACCTTACAAAGTTTCTATACCAGGTGTGAGGAATTTAATATACATACAAGTAAGTAACAAGTTGTCTCCTGACAGGAGAGAGTAGAAGTCCTGCTCTGTAGTCAGGGTAGTTGTACCTCCTTCTCAGCTCACCCTGGGCCAATGAGGCTAAGGAGAACAATGCTGACAGTATCCCCAGGCAGAGGATAAGCACTTTACTCAGACCTAGAACTCAAAAAAAAAAAAAAAAAAAAAACAGTATCCTTAAGAACTAAAATTGAGGTTTTGCTTTTTCTAGGGAGTCAGTGAAACTGACTTTTAACAGAGGTGGCATACTTTTCAAAATAGCAAGAATATTATGCATGTTTTTAGGTTTTTGAATTTATAGAACTTTTAAAAAATAAGCAGATAAATTCTTTGATTCTCCCTGCCTCCTCCTTCCAGCAAGAGGACACAAGGTTTCCTCTTTGTAGCTCTGGCAGTCCTGAAACTCTCACTGTAGACAAGGTTAGCCTAGGGCTCAGAGATCCACCACCTGTCTCTATTTCTGCCTCCTCAGTGTTGGGATCAAACATTAAAGGTGTAGGCCACTGTCCTTTCTGTAGCTAGGCAGTGATGGCTTACTTAACAATACTTTTCCCTTCAATTATGTCTTTTCAAGCTTATCAACTGTACAGTCATGTTAATAATTTGCATAAAATCAAATGTGCATGCAAGATTGTAGTTTGGAAAGACTGAGGAATGAAAATTTGCAAGCAAAACTGGTATTGGGGATGTTTTCAAGGTTAGAGAAAGTATACAGGTGCTTGAAGGATTTATTTATTTATTTATTTATTTATTTGCTTATTCATTCACTTACTTATTTATGGATCTCAGAGCTGATTAGGTAACTGGGAAGAAATCCATGCATCATATATAGGAAAATTGTTGTGCTCTTAGTAAAATTTGGTTGGAGGAAGGATAGAGATGAGCATTTAACTCTTACATGTGCCAGTATGTGTATGTGTGCATTTTTTGCAGCGTCTCATTTCTCCTTTTAAGTTAACTGATTCCTATGAGCAGGCAGAGGAAACAGTCTCCTCGCAGACAGTTTCAGTAAGGGAAAGCTATGCAACTGAGAAGTCTAGACTAGAGAGAATAGGTGGAACAAAACCATTTCTGTTTCAATATAAACGACTGCACCTAGAGCTAAAATATCTTCCTCCCTGAAGCCATGATCAAGTCCTAAGGTACCTTAGATGCAGTTTGATGTTGACAGGAATGGGCAAGCCACTGAAGAAAAAAAAAATCACAGCAAACCAAAATCCCAAAGCCCCAAACACACTGGCTGATGAGAAGGAGAAACAGTGTTCCTTGCAGTCACACAAAAACCCACCCTCGCCGTGGGGTGGGTTGTAATTTTTACATGCCAACAAGTTCTTTATGGGAAGAGACCCAAAGAACAAATTGAATTTCATTAAAATAAACACAATTTAGTTAATTTACCATTATTGATCATTGTACTAAGATTTAAGCTTTCGCATTGACTACTCTCCCTTTACATTTTGATTTTTCCTCCTCAAACTAGAGTCATATTAGACAGATAGCTATCAGAATTCCTGGCTTAGATATATCATGAGATACCATCTTCAAATAGTTTATTACCTTATACTCCAAAAAGGCAGTGTGGCAATGACCAGTGTGACATATGAAAATTAAATTTAATAAGAATAGTATGAAGATTATACTACCTATAAGAGATATTCAGAATAAAATGAAGGATAGAAAAACAAAAGTGTTTCTGTTAAAATCAAATTATATACAAAAATTCTTAACTTTTGATAATAGATATTAATTAATTTAGTTAGTATTTCAAGACAGGGTTTTTCTGTATAGCCCTGGTGATCCTGAAACTGGTTCTGTAGACAAAGCTTCCCTTGAACTCAGAAATCTTCCTGACTCTTCCTCCTAAGAGATGAATTAAAGGCATGTTATCATCATTCCCAGAATAAATAAATAAAAGAAGAAGAAAAGTAATGGAAAATCGCCTTATATATCAAAATGCTGACTATTCATGTATAACAATGAGGTTACTTTTCTTTCTTTCTTTTTTTTTTTTTCATTTTCCTCTTTCCATGGTGTATTAAAAGTCTTTGTGTAGAACAAGCAGGTTACAAGCTAGTGTTCCTTTGGCTTCAGGCACTCAAAGGCTGGGGTTACCCAGTCCCAAACTACTTAGCTCACAATAAATTTATTGATGGGCATTAAAAGCATACAACTGAAATTTTATGTGTCATCAAACAGTCCAAATGCCTTTTGGATTTATTTATTTACTTATTATCTTTATGTATATGTCTTTTTAAAAAAATAATTTCATACTTCAATGCAACATATTGTATTTATTGTGGTGATAATCTGTTTGTACTATAACAAATAAAGCTTGCCTGTAGATCAGAGTGTGGAATGAGCCACTAGTTAGCCATAGAGGCCAGGCAGTGGTGGCACACACCTTTAATCACAGCTGTTGAGGGGCAGAGGCAGATGGATCTCTGTGACTTCAAGGCCACCCTGGGCTACACTAGACTGATCCAGTTTAAAAGAAAAACAGACCCAAGCTGTGGTGGATCACACCTTTAATTCTAGTACTTGGGAGTAACAAGCCTTTAAGCACAGTACTAGGTAGGTGGAGAGAGGAAGAGATAGGCCTGGGCAGAGAGAGGAATGTAAGGAAAAAGGAAGCAGGAGCTCAAGGAGTTCAGTCTGAGGATTCCCAGAGACAAGATTGACCATTCAGTCTAAAGATTCATAGGAACAGGGCTGTTCCTTTGGTCTGAGAATTCAGTAGTGGTAGGAACGAGTGGCTGGCTGTTCTTCTCTGATAGCTGACTTCATGTTTTCTAATTGTTCTTAATAATAAAAATGTGGAAAATAAATGGTAATGTAGATATTATTTTTCCTTTTTTTTCTGACTCTCCTCTCTCCTGCAGGTCTTCTCATGGCTACTTCACTGAAGGAAGTGGTATACCTCCTCCCGAAATCAGTAGCAGCCATTAGCTCCCCAGATAAAATACAGCTTTATGAACATGTTTATATGTAATGAAATGTTTAAGGGTCCAATTTGTGGAGCTATCCAGTGTTTTCATGATTATTATTACCATGTCATATTTGATGACCGTGTCCTATGGCATTTCTTCCACATCCACCCTTCAATTGTTACATTTCCTTTATC